AAACGTCAGGTTGATTTCAATATTGTGACTTTTTCAGTGCTTGTGAAAAATATTTTTATACAAATTTTATGTACCTCCTTTAAGGGCCTGTATCTTAACAAGGGATGCTCCAATGAAGTTTCTATATATGAAAGATCATATCTTTTTTTCGATGAGGAATCACCTCCTCAAATGTTTTACACTTATTCAGTTACACCCTGTATAGAATCCATTTATTTCTTGAAATCTTCAGCTATCTTTTAAATGTTTTGACCAATTTTTGAAACCGAAGCAGCATTGGATATATAGGGAATCAAAAATACTTTTCCATGAAGTATATATCACTCGCCCCCCATTTCCATTTGAAAATGATATTATGGGTGACACCTTTCCTTAGGTTAATGGTTTTGTTGTGGTTTTCGGGTCAAAACTTCTCCTCCTTACAAAATACTTGACGTGTATTCGAGGATACATCACGTATTTTTTGGAAACCAGATAAAATTTCCGATTATTTTATGAAAACAAACATTCTCCCAATTCAAACTTTACAAAAATGTATGTGACGTGAAAATTTCATAATCAACAGTCACGTAAGAAATAACAGTACATACATCCTGGCTTTTGAATTATATTGCTGCTTTGCCTGCCCGGACGAGAAATACGAAAACCCTTATATGGGAAGACCTCCTGAGTGTCATGGAAAAAAGTGGTTTTTGAACATATTATTGCAGGTATTTCATTCGCCAGTGCTTTGATCGTGCATCGTAGACATATTCAATCATCGACAATACTAATTATCTACTATCTTTGAGTTAGGTACACTATAACTTCATTAATGGATATTTTTCACCATAATACTGAATGCTCTTCCGTTAGAAAATCACCGTTTTGAAGTGGGTTATCCAATCAAAATACTATATAAAAGAATCGATCGTATCTTTCATAATATAATGTTTGATAGTTTTTGGTTAAGAGGTGAAGCAGTGACTTTATTTTTGGTTTTTCGGAGATAGCAATTTGAAATATTCATCATATTTTCGTAAATTCATTAAATTTGATAACGGGAACCTTCTATGAATGAATGACTATTACTATTACCTACAGAGATTTTTTGAAATTCACTTTTGAGAAATTGAAATGTTTTCTCTATTAAGATGAGTGAACATTTAATTTCTGATATAGACAACATCGAGAATATTGGATAATTGCGCCGTTTACTTAAATATTATTACTTCACAAATGATGTAAACTTAACGAAGCAGTTAGGATCTAATAACAATAAATAATGTATGTTAAAAAACTATCAGCGTGTTCAAAATCATTAAAATGATTGCAAATAATGAATGTAACCACAGCTACAAAAAACACAACCGTTTGTTTCTTTCACATGTAGGAAAAATTGTTTTCCAACAATTAGTTTTATAATAATGTTTCCATAGGCAGCTCTGAAATATTTTATGAAATGATTCCTAATTTAATTTGGGGAAACTAATTCCCTCAGAACTGGGGGGATGGTCAATTTGTAAACTGTGTTTTTTTTTATTGATTCGGCCGTTACTTGATGAAGATCCATAGTAATTTCAAAAACTACACGTCACGATTTGATCTCCACAAACTTCATTTGAAAAATGTGTCACAACATGTTTCGCTAGCACAGTACTCCTGATTTCTTGAATTTGGATGTTTTGTCTTTATTATTTTTAACTATATGAATTAAACCAAATCACGGAATAAAACAACGATAAAAATAAAAACAACAATAAAAATTAATTGGCGCTCCGGGGCGACTTCATTGATTCCAGAGGCGCATTTGCTTTTTCACCTGCAGGAAAACCCGGAAAAACCTGCAGCACCACATCATCTGAAGATCTTCATCTACCAATGTCCTCTCTCTCATGAAACAAAATGTAGGGTGTCTCCAGAGGCTCCAGAACACTTCGTGACACGACTATCATCAAACTTAAACGTCCTTTTCATCTTTAACCAAGGCGTAATAGTGACCAAATTCAATGTCAGAACCACAGTGAACAATGACTGCATGAATATTATAACAATGGTTTGCAAGATTGAAATGTTCGTCTATTTCGAACCTTCGAAAGAGTTTCTTGCTTCCGTCAGATGTTGAGTCTTGTTTGAAGATCATCAGTGTTATTATTAGATTGACTGGTGCCTCAGCTATACTTGTTTCCTTATAACAGTCAGTTAGTTTGGTGCATGTTTGGCAATACAGTCGATCATCACCTGTTAAAAATTCCATTTTCAAATGATTTAACAAAAAGCTTTGCACGGACTGGTTATTAGTCATATGAGGAAACGCTAGATGAAGTTCCAGAAACTAACATAAGTTTTCTCTACTTCTTGAACATTCACTACAAATTGAAAAAATTAGCATTTTTCCAGCAAAAGATTTACAAAGACAAGACGAGATGGACTGTATGGAATCATTCAATCCAGAGCGGTCAGGAGTATTGAATTTGCTATTGTTTTGCTCACGAAGAGTAATTATTCAATAATAACCCCAAAAATTCGGAACAATCCTCTTGTCGTTCTAACGAGTATCTAGTGGACTTCAAAGACTCCAGGAAATCGGTTGGAGGGAAAGATGATACATTCTTACGAAACTGCCGCTGCATGAAAAGGTGTTTGAGTTTGGTGAATAAGTAGGAAACATTCTCGTTCTCGTTCATCATTAAAACCTCGTTCTTGAAATTTTTCGTCATGAACAACACTTGTAAAATGCTATTCATGTAGCAAGTGTTTCCTAAATTATCCAATCCAATTTTTTTCTCTAGATTTTCAGGACAACTCTTCTGATTCGTAAGGAAGAACATGTTTCACAGAATCTCCATAAGAACCATTTCTCAACCTGCGATCGATCCTTCCAAGTGAAGAAGGTTTTCGCAGAGGGATCGATTCGGCAATTGCTTCATGATCTTCCACTGAAAGGAAACCAAAACTACGAGGACTGCAACTCATATTTGGGGGGCAATAATGACCTTAGTCCATTGACCGCACTGAAAAAGAAGAAGGCGGATCAATCACTTGTGAGTTAACCTTGATAGGAGACTGATGAATATCCACATATCTCGGCTTCTTTCGAAGAGATTTCAGTTCCGTTC